GGGAAGGGCCACTGGAGATGAGATCAGACCAGCAAAAGAGGGCAGTTTCGGGCAACCAAGCTAGCAGGGAGGGCAGTTGAAAATGAGATCAGGCTGGCAGAGGAGGGCAGTTGGAAGCAAGATCAGGCCAGCAGGGGAGATCCATTGGGGGCAAGATCAGGCCAGCAGGAAGGGCAGTTGGAGGCAACCAGGCTAGCAGGGAAGGCAGCTAGAGGCAAGTTCAGGCCAGCAGGGGAGGGCAGCTAAGGGCAAGGTCAGACAGACAGGCAGAGGGGTTAGGGCCATCAGGCAGGCAGGTAGAGGCAGTTAGGGTGACCGGGCAGGCAGGCAGGTGATGGTTAGGAGCCAGCAGTTCCAGATTAAGAGAGGGATTTCCAATGGCCGGTTTAGGCCCGGTCCCACAGTCAGACATCACATTAAAGGGCTCCCAATTGGAGAGGGTTCAGGCTAGGCTGAGGGTATCCTCCCCCCCACCCCTGTGCACAAATTTTGTGCACTGGGCCACTAGTGTTAAAACAAAGTGGTAGATGTGGGCGACTTTTTCTTTATCTTTATCTTAAAGGAGAGGTTTTCAACTTTTGCCAGCGAGTATGATATTAGCTATGGTCTTATCATATATGGTCTTTATTATGTTGAAATACTTTTCATCTATACCCACTTTGTTGAGAGTTTTTATCATAAATAGACGTTGGTTGCTTTTTGTGCATCTGTTGCAATGACTGAATGATTTTTTTATCTTTCATTTTGTTGATGTCATGTAAAATTGATTTTCATTTGTTGAACCATTTCTGCATTTCTGGAATAAATCCATTGTGCTCAAAAAGGTGTATAAGCTTTTTAATGTACTGTTGAATTCTTTACTAATATTTTCTGAGGATTTTTTTGCATTTTGTTCATCAGAGATTTTTACTTGTTTTTCTTTATTGTGGTATCTTTCTCTAATTTTTATATCAATGTAATACTAGTCTTGCAAGAGTGTTCACTCCTCATTAAATTTTTTTGCAAGACTTTGAACAGAATTGGTATTAAGTCTTCTTTGAATGCTTGGTAGAATTCACCAGTTAAACAATTTAATCCTCAACTTTAGTTTTGGGAAATTTTTTTTTATTACAGATTCAAACTCCTTGCTAATAGTCAGTTTGTTTAGATTTTCTATTCAAAATTCAGTCTTAGAAGACTGCATATTTCTAGAAATATATTCATTTCTTGTAGTTGGTCCATTTTGTTGGCATATGATTGTTCAAGATAAAGTCTTTTAATCCTTTGTTTCTTTGATAATCAGTTATAACTTCTCTTTCATTTCTGATTTATTCATTTGTGTCCTTTTTTCTTAATGAGTCTAGCTAACGGTTTGTTAGTTCTGTTTATCATTTCACATAACCAGCTTTTATTTCACTAATTTTTCTATTGTCTTTTAAGTCTATATTTTATTTATTTCTGCTCTTTATTCTTATTCCCTTTCTTCTACAAACTTTGGGCTTTGTTTTTTATTCTGTTTTTAGTTTCTCTAGATCTAAGGTTAGATTTCTTAACTGAGCTTTTTTATGTTTGTGTGAGATAGATCTGCATTGCTATAAACTTCACTTTTAGAACTGCTTTTGAAAAAAAAAAAACACATATCAGAGGGGGGGAAAAAGATTATATCAGGAAATGCTCCTTTAAAAAAGAGCTACTTTTGCTGCATGCCACATATTTTAGTGTGTTGCATTTCTACTTTCATTTGATGTCCTTGTTAACTCATTGGTTTTTCAGTGGCATTTTGTTTTATCTTCACATATTAATAATTTTCCAGTTTCTTTTTGTAATTGATTCCCAGTTTATTATCAATATGTTCAGAGAAGATGCTTGATATGGTTTTAATCCTCTCAAATTTATTGAGATTTATTTCATGGCCTAGTAAATTATCTATCCTGGAAATTTGTCATGTGCATGTGAGAAGAATGTTTATTCTGCTGCTTTGATTAAATTTTCTCATATGTTTAGTAAATCCATCTGGTCTAAAGTGTCATTTAAGGCCAAATTTCCTCATTAATTTTTTTGTCTAGATAATATATCCATTGATGTAAATGGAATATTATCATCCCCCCAATATTACTGTATTGCTGTCAATTTCTTCCTTTAGGTCTGTTAATATTTTGTTATTACATAGTGCTCCTATGTAATGCTCATGTTTGTCTTTTATAACAGTCTTTATTTTAAAGTCTATTTTATCTGATATAACTACTCCAGCTTTTCTTTTTTGGTTTCCATTTGCATAAAATATCTTTCCCCCATTTTTTTCACTTTCAGATGTGTGTGTCTTGACATCTGGAATGAGTCTCCTGTAGGCAACATATAGATGGGTATATAGACAGGTCTTGTATTTTTATATATTAGGTAACCTATGTCTTTTGATTGAAGGACTTAATCCAAAGTATATAGTTATTGACATTTTGTGTGTTTTTTTCTGGCTGTTTTGTAGTTCCTCTCTGTTTCTTTCTACTGTTTCTTTCCTAGTAGCTTCATGACTTTTTGTAATTTTAGGCTTAGATTCCTTTTACTACCTTTTATAGTTTTTTTTATTTGCTTCATGGTTACCATGAGGCTCATATATAACATATGCACTGTTGGTGGCAATGTACATTAGCATGGCCACTGTAAGAAAAAATGGAAGTAGTACCTGACCTAACAATTCCACTTCTGGGCATTTATCCAAAGAAAACAAAAATACTGCCGGGTCCGGTTTGGCTCAATGGATAGAGCGTCGGCTTGGGGACTGAAGGGTCCCGGGTTCGATTCCGGTCAAGGGCATGTACCTTGGTTGCGGGCATATCCCCAGTGGGGGGGGGGGGGGGGTGTGTGCAAGAGGCAGCTGATCGATGACTCTCTCTCATCGATGTTTCTGGCTCTCTATCTCTCTCCCTTCCACTCTATACAAAATCAATAAAATATATTTAAAAAAGAAAGAAAGAAAACAAAAATACTGGATTTGAGGGCAATTTGGCTGTGACATCTGTCACCGCATTGACCATCAGGATTGACTAGGCTGATATGGCTGGCTAGGTGGGTGTCCCCCAACTCTCTCACCAATCCATGTGCATCCCTCCTGAAGATAGGACTGGTCTTCAGTCAAGGGCATATGAGTAGCTACACTCCCTTGCTAGAACCTCCAAACAAGCTCTCAAAGGAAAAAAAAATACTACATCAGAAAAATATATTCACCATGTTCATTGCACCATTATTTACAATAGCTAACAAACTAAGTGTATATAGATGGATGAATGAATAAAGAACCTGTGATATATAGGTGGGCAAAAAAAGTAGGTTTATAGTTGTGAAACACAAGTTTATCCTTGTACTATTATTTATTAACTAGAGGCCCAAAGCACAAAATCCATACAAGGAGTTCGGCCCTTGCAGCTTCGACAGCTAGCCTTGGCTCTTACAGTCCCGGCTTTGTCAGGAAGGTCAACCAGGAGGATATCTGGAAGGTTGTTTGGCTGTCCATTCTAATTAGTATATTACACTTTTATTATTATCGATTACTAGAGGTCCAGTGCACGAAATTTGTGCACAGGGAGGTCCCTCAGCCCGACCTACACCTTCTCCAATCCAAGACCCTCAGAGAATGTCCCATGACAGCTCAGACCCAATCCCCATGGTTCTTTGCTCCCTGTGGGGCTTGCCTGCTCCATGCTACAGCGATAGTCAAGCAGGCCCTGCTGGGTGCTTCCTGCAGGTCTACTTGCCTGATCGTGGGTCACCACAACTACTGCCAAGCAGACCCTGCTGTCTGCTGGAAAGCTGTGCAGCTGCCCTCACCTTCTGGGGCCAGCAATGGTCCCGGGAACCTGTGGGCATGGCACCCATCCTTAGGACCCAGGCTGTTTGGTGCCACCCCATGTGCAAATTAACCTACCAATTTTGTTGGGTTAATTTGCATGCTCATTCCTGATTGGCTGGTAGATGTCAATTTGAATCTTTCTCTTTTATTAGTTTAGATTATATTATTTTCCATGTGAACAACTGTTAACCCACTTTTTTCCCAACCCTGTACATGTCCCCCATAAAAATCTTGCCATTTGCAACATGAATTGACCTTGAGGGTATTATGCTTACTTAAATAAGTCAGACAAAGAAAGACAAATATTACATTATCTCACTTATATGTGAAATCTAAAAATGACACCACCAAAAAAGCTTAAAATACAAAAAATAGATTGGTGGTTGCCAGAGATGGAGGTTGAGGGTGGGCAAAATGGATAAAGAGAGTAAAAAGGTACAAAGTTCCAGTTGTAAGTAATAAGTCCAGGGTATATAATGTACAAGCATTATCATTTAGTTAATAATACTGTATTGCATATTTTAAAGTTTCTAAGGCAGTAAAATCTTAAAAATTCTCATCATAAGAAAAAATTTTGTAACTAGGTATCATGACAGATGTTAACTAGACATATAGTGCTAATAATTTTGCAAAATATACAATGTCAAACCATTATATTATACACCAGAAACTAAGAAATGTCAATTATAGCTCAATTTAAATATAAATTAATGCATTAAACAATATTTTATATCTGACTAGTCTGTATTGAAATGACTAGAAAATAAAATGTCAAGAGTTGACTGTTTAAAAAATTGATCACAAGCTCTGGCAGGTGTTCTTCAATTGGTTGGAGCATTGTCCCATGTACCAAAGGGTCACAGTCTCATCCAGTTAGGAAACATACCGAGGTTTGCAGGATTGAGCTTGGTCAGGGCACATGTGGGAGGCAACCAATTGATGTATCTCTTGCCCTCCTCTTTCTCTAAAATCAAAAATTTATCACAATCAACACATACCTAATTTTTACATTTATATTGAATATAATAATGAATTAATTGCCCAGAAAATGAAAGGGGAAAATTCAAGCAAAAAAAAAAAGCATAGAGAATTTTTAAAAATAGAATCAAATAATGCAAATAATGAGATTGAATTCTAACAGCACATATTACTATTTTTATTTTGAGTATTTCTTTACCTGTGGATATTCTTGGATCTTAACATTTGTCTTTTGTCCATTTGAATCTGCAATTTGTACTTTTCTTGTTTCTCTCTCCAATGGTAGAGATGTTGAAGCTTCAATTTTAACTTCTGTGTCACTTGTAGTCCTTTCAATTTTTGTCTTGCTTTTCCTGTCATTTTTAAGTAACTCCCCTTGATTTAGGAAATACTTTAGTTGATGCTTAGCTTTTTCTGCTTCCTATTTGAAAAAAGTAACCATTGATCAAGTATTACTTTTGTGACATTTTTCCTAACAGTATTGCAACTTTCAAAAATACACATATATTCATGCCCATATTACCTCTCAATTTTATTTTTACTGAGTTGAAGGAATGTAAGTTAAATCACCAAAATAATCCATAGTTTAAAAGATCCTCAGTTTCATTTAAACTATGAAAATCTTCTTCCATTTTAGGGCTATGTTTATATCCAGGAGTTCCTAGTGCTCTTATTTCTTATTTTTTTTATTGAATTTATTGGGGTGACATTATTTAATAAAATTATACAGGTTTCAGAATGGCTACCATTAATATTATAGATCAATAAACAAGTGTAGGTAAGCATATCACACTTCTATTATTATAGACTAGAGGCCTGGTGCACAAAATTCGAGCACGGGAGTGGAGGGGGGGTTGTCACTCAGTCCATCCTGCACCCTCTCCAATCTGGGACCCTTCGAGGGATGTCTGACTGCCCATTGGGATCAAGCCTAAATGGGCAGTCGGACATCGCTCTCTCAATCCAGGACTGCTGGCTCCCAAATGCTCGCCTGCCTACCTTCCTGATTACCCCTAACCACTTCTGCCTGGCAGCCTGATCACCCCCTAACCACTCCCATGCCACCCTTATTGATGTCTAATTGCTCCCCTGCCAGCCCGTTTGCCCCCAACTTCCCTCCTCTTCCAGCCTGGTCACCCCTAACTGCCCTCCCCTGCAGGGTTGATCGCCTTCAACTGCCCTCCCTTTCAGGCCTGGTGCCTCCCAACTGCCCTCCTCTGCTTGCCTGCACCCATAACTGCCTTCCTTTGCAGGCCTAGTTCCTCCCAACTGCCCTTCCCTGATGGCCATCTTGTGGTGGCCATCTTGTGTCCACATGGGGACAGGATCTTTGACAACATGGGGGCAGCCATATTGTGTGTTGGAGTGATGGTCAATATGCATATTACTCTTATTAGATAGGATAGAGGCCTGGTACATGGCTGGGGGCTAGTTGGTTTGCCCTGAATGGTGTCCCAGATCATGGTGAGGCTTCCCTTGGGGCATGGGGTGACCTGAGCAAGGGGCCTGTGGTGGTTTGCAGGCCAGCCATGCCCCCCAGAGACCCAAGTGGAGGCCCTGGTATCTGGGAATTATTTACCTTCTACAATTAAAACTTTGTAGTCTGAAGCAGCGCCAAGCCTCCTGCTCGCTCTGTGGCTAGCAGCAGTTTCTGTTTGGATTTGTTTACCTACTATAATTTAAACTTTTTAGCCTTGAGTGGAGGCCTAGGCCAGCTAGGGCAGGCAGAAAGCTTGGCTTCTTCCGTTGCCTGGGAAACCCAAGCCTCCCTCCTGCTCTCTGTGGTTGTAACCATCTTCGTTGGGTTTATTTGCATATTTGCTCTGATTGGCTGGTGGGTGTAGCAGAGTGATGGTTAATTTGCATATTACTCTTTTATTAGGTAGGATGAGCAGCCTGGTGCATGAAATTCATGCACGTGGCGGGGGGGGAGGGTTGTCCCTCAGCCCAGCCTGCACCCTCTCCAATCTGGGATCCCTCTCATAATCTAGGATTGCTAGCTTCCAACTGCTAGCCTGCCTGCTTTTCTGATTGCCCCTAACCATTTCTTCCTGCCAGCCTGATCACCCCCTAACCACTCCCCTGCCAGCCTGATTGATGCCTAACTGCTCCTCTGCCAGCCTATTTGCCCCTAAATGCCCTCCACTGCAGGCCTGGTAACCCCCAACCTCTTCCCTGCAGGCCTGGGTCCCTTCCAACTGCCCTTCTCTGCAGGCATGGTCATCCCCAACTTCCTTCCTCTGCCGGCTTGGTCACCCCTAACTGCCCTCCACTTCAGGCTTCATTGTCCCCATCTGCCCTCCCTTGCAGGCCTAGTCCCTCCCAACTGCCTTCCCCTGCTAGCCATCTTGTGGTATCCACATAGGGCAGAATATCTGACCACATGGGGCAGCCATCTTTGACCACATGGTTGCAGCCATCTTATGTATTGGAGTGATGGTCAATCTGCATATTACTCTTTTATTATTTATGACTAGAGGCCCAGTGCACTAAATTTTGTGAACCCAGAGTGTCCCTCAGCCCAGCCTGCACCCTCTCCAATCCAGAACCCCTTGGAGGATGTCTGACTGCTGGTTTAGGACAAATCCCCACCCTGATTGCCCCCAACTGTCCTCCCCTGCCAGTCTGATCACCCCTAACTGCCCTCCACTGCAAGCCTGATCACCCCTAACTGCTTGCTTCCCCATGCCGGCCTGATTTCCCTTAACTGCTTGCTCCCCTGCCAGCCTCATCACCCCTAAACACCTCTGCCTTGGTCCCTGCAACCATGGCTTTGTCCAGAAGGAAGTTGGACATCCAGAAGATGTCTGATTGACCCATTCTCACTAGCATGTTACCCTTTTATTAGTATACATTATGTAAAAATCTCCCATTTATCTTCATATCTCATACTTTTTACCATGAAAATGTTTTAAATGTTTACCATTAACTGTTCAAAAATAGTTAAATATGTAAGTATATTAACATGTTTCTTTGTAGTACAATGCTTAGAAAACCTTGCTCTATTCAAGATCAGATAATTATCAACTGTTTCTTCTATTCAATACCAAATCCAGAGCCACATTGCTTTAGCTATTGTAGTTTTACATTATATATTAATTTTTTAGATCAGCAAATATTCCTTAATTGTTTCTTATAAATATTCACCAATTTTTTACTTCAATATATAGTTGTATAATAGTCCTATTAAGCACAAAAACAATTTCATTTATATCTAGAAATAAATTGCATTAAGTTTGTATATCAATTTAGAGAAAGTAAAAAACTAAATTATTTATAATTATGAGGCTTCAAAACCAAAAATATATACTTTTCACCTATACTCTCAGTAAAATGTATTTTTCTTCATATAAAACTCTGTATATTTTTAATTATGCTATCCTAATATGAATAAAATTTTTCTACTATATTTTCTAAATAATTGCTTATTTTTCATTTTTTTAATTTTACTTTTCAATTACATTTAACATATATTATGTTAGTTTTGGATGTACAACACAGTCCTTAAATAATTGCTTCTGATAAAAAGAAAAGTTTTTTTTTTATCTATTTTGTCTTCAGCCACGGTTTTTAACTATATCATTAATAACAAATTTGTGTATTTTCTTGTATTTTTAAGAAGGAAAATTATATAATACTAGAGGACCAGTGCACGAGATTTATGCACAGTGGGATGGGGGGAGAGGGGGGGCAGGGTCCCTCAACCCAGCCTGTACCCTCTCCAATAGGGGACCCCTTGAGAGATTTCTGACCACCCATTTAATCCTAACTTCCCTCCCCTGCAGTCCTGCTCCCTCCTAACTGCTTTCCCCTGCAGGCCTGCCCCCCCCACAACTGCCCTCCCCTGCTGATCTGGTCCTCCCCAACTGCCCTCCCCTGCTGACCAGGTTTTCCCCAACTGCCCTCTGCTACAGGCCTGGTCCCTCCCAACTATCCTCCCCTGCTGGCCTGGTCTCCTGCTGGCCTGATCACCCCTAGCTACCCTCCCTGCTGGTCTGATTGCCCACAATGGCCCTCCCCTGTTGGCCCAGTCCCTCCCAACTACCCTCCTCTGCAGGCCTGGGTCCCCCGAAATTCCCTCCCCTGCTGGCCTGGTCTCCTGTCACCCCTAACTGCCCTCCCTGCTGGCCTAATCGCCCACAACTGCCCTCCCCTGCAGGCCTGGTCCCCGCAACAGTCCTTACCCTGCAGGCCTGGTCCCCCTAACAGTCCTACCCCTGCAGACCTGGGTTCTCCCCGAATATCCTCCACTGCAGCCCTGGCCCCCCAACCGCCCTCCACTCAGGCCTGGTCCCCACCCCAGTTGCCCTCTCCTGCAGGCCTGGTCCCCCAAACTGCTCTCCCCTGGAGGCCTGCCTCCCCCAACTGCCTTCCCTGCCAGTCCTGATCTCTCCCCCCCCCCCCAACTGCCATTGCCTACTGACCTGGTATCCTCCAACTGCCCTCTTCTGCTGGACCATTTACCCCTCACTGCCTTTCACTGAAGGTGTGGTCCTCCCCAACTGCTTTCCACTCAGGCTTGATACCCCCAAACTACCCTCTGCAGGCCTGAGCTCCCCCCCCCAACTTCCCTCCCCTGCTAGCTTGGTCACCCCTAACTGCCCTTCCTGCTTGCCTGATCACCCACAATTGCCCTCCCCTGCAGGCCTGATCCCCCTCAAATGCCCTTTCCTGCAGGCCTGGGTCCCCCACCACTGCCCTCCTTGCTCGACTGGTCTCCCCCAACTTCCCTTCTCAGCTGGCCTGGTCACCCCTAACTTCCCACAACTGCCCTCCTCTGCAGGCCATCTTGTGGCAGCCATCTTGTGGTAGTCATCTTATGTCCACATGAGGCAGCCTTATTTGACCACATGGGGGTGGCCATCTTGTGTTATTGTGTGATGGTCAATTTGCATATTACTCTTTTATTAGATAGGATTTAAATAATATTACTTTTGTCTATCTGCTCATAAAAATGTAGCTTCTTTCTTTGGTTATTTAGCATCAATTTGAAAAATAACAGTAAGAGCCAAAACCGGTTTGTCTCAGTGGTAGAGCGTCAGTCTGCAGACTGAAAGGTCCCAGGTTCGATTCCGGTCAGGGGCATGTACATTGGTTGTGGGCACATCCTTGGTAGGGGGTGTGCAAGAGGCAGCTGGTCGATGTTTCTCTCTCATCGACATTTCTATCTCTCTATCTCTCTCCCTTCCTCCTCTCTGCAAAACATCAATAAAATATATTTTTAAAAATAGCAGTAAGAGCCAGCATCCAGTTTAACTGAGTTTAATTGTAATGTCTGCAGTGTTTTATTTTATTTTATTTTATTTATAATATTGTCTCAGTGGGAAATAGATTTCTTTTATTTTATTAAGGATGTTTACTTTTCTTTCTAGTTTAGTCCTATATGATTTCACTCATATGTAGATATAAAACAAGGGAACAAATGAACAAATAAAAACAAACAAAAATTCATAGACGCAGACGTAAGATGGTTACTAGGGAGAGGAGGTTGGAGATGTAGTAAAGGGTAAAGGGGATCAAATATCCTATATAATAAAAGGCTAGTATGCAAATTGACCAAACAGTAGAACGACCTGTCACTATGATGTGCACTGATGACCAGAGGGCAGACACTCAATGCAGGAGCTGCTCCCTAGTGGACAGTGCACTCTCACAAGGGGCGTGAGAGGATATAAGCCATCAGTTGGACATCCCTCAAGGACTTCTGGATTGCAAGAGGGTACAGACCAGGCTAAGGGACAACAACCACCCCCCCAGTGCAGTGCACAAATTTTATGCACTGGGCCTCTAGTATGGTGATAAAAGATGATTTGACTTTGGGTGGTGGGTACACAATGTAATTATATAAAGGTCATGTATGACAAAAATGTACATTTGAGACATATAATTTTATTAACCACTGTCACCCAAATAAATTTAATTTAAAAGAATAAAATACAACTCTCAGTGTTGTAAAAAAAAAAATGAATGATGTTAAATTTTATTAATATACTCCTAGTGTGTAAAATTAATATACTTTAAAACTGGCAAGATACTTAGTACAGACTTATTAGTTAATAAGGTCAAACATATTCATTTTTAAAACCTGTATAATTTTATTAAACAGTGTCAGTCACCCCAATAAACTCAACTTTCAAAATTTTAAAATATTCACTTGTTAACAATTTTAAAAGAGCATGATATTCTTTACCTGTAATGCTTCTTTCAGTTGTTCCTGAATGATTTTGTTCTCAGCTTCCAGACTATATGCTGTTTTCTAGGATGCAATATAAAGGGATATAGGGAGATATATATTTTGGTACTTTTGTTTTTATTAACTTATTGTTATAGTTATTTCATTACTAAAATCCATATAAACAGCCCAGATGATGACGTGAACATATACATTTACTACACACTTAACAGGCATAATGGTGGATAATTTCTATACCTTTAACTTCCTATTGATTTTCCATATGCAATTTGATTTTGAATCTGGCAAACTATAAATAGAATAAATTAAACATTTCTTTTCTCTGTTCTTTTAGGCATAAAATATTTAAATATAAACATTTCAAATTTTATAGAAAGAAGCAACTTCATCCTTAACACAAAATAAGCTTAGTTCTGACTTTTTAAAGAGTGGATTCTATTATACATTAAATAGACTAAGAATTCTTCAGCAGATAGAAGACAGTTTGAGGAACCATACCTAAAGTGCCCAATTCTGCTCTGGCATAGCAGAGCAAATTCCTACTAGACAAGCCCTGTGATATATAACCACCATAAACTATGAACAAAATACTGTATAAATATTAATGTTTGAAAGCTATCCCGTTGTTGAATAGTTAAGATTCTTGAAAAAAAGTTGATCAAGAGTATTAATATTCTTGGGTTTTGGCTCCTAGTCTGAGGGTAAGCCCTAGCTGAACCAGGTAAGGCACCTAATAACTGATAGAATGCCTGATTTTTAGTCTTTACAAACCAGAGGAGAGAGTTCAGGGCAATCACAGCCACTAGAAAGGTTAGGAGAAAGTCACACAAAGAAGAAAGCTGGAGACAGGGAGCCTCAAACTGTTTGTATAATCTCTGCCCAAATCTCCCCCTAACCTCTAAACCACATATGTATAGGGAAGAATCTAAGCAGCTCAGTAAAAGCTAAAAAAATTAAATGTCATTGGAGCCTGCTTAAGCACAGAATTTTTATTTTCCATCAAATCATATTAATTATATATTAAAGCAAAACAAACAAAATTATACCAATCATTGAAAGAATATAGCAGAATCCATAATTTCAACATGACTTTCCCAATATCCAAGATACAATTTAAAATTACTTGACATTGGAAGAAATAGGAAATTATCTTAAGATAATTTATAAATTTATATCTTAAGATAAAAGACAATCACAGAGATTAATCCCAACATAGTCTGAATTTTAGAATTAGTATAAAAATTGTAAAGCAACTCTTATAAAAATTCTATATAATAAAGAGCTGATATTCAAATGGTCATCAAGCTCTTATGCTATCAGCCATACCTCAGACACTCAACACCGGGGAGAAAGGAATGGGGACCAGCCAGACACAAATGAGCTCATGAGAGAGGAATGGGAAGCAGCCAGGCTGTAGCCCAGGAGAGGGACATGCCACCCACCCCACGATCCCAGGCACTAGCAGCTGGAGATGCAGCCCAGGAGAGGGACAAGCCGCATGCCCCACGGTTCCCATGGTCCCAGGCACCAGAGGCTGTGCCTGCACCTGTGGCCCAGGAGAGGGACAAACTGCCTACCCCACAGTCTCAGGCACCTGGGACTGCAACCCAGGCAAAGCTGCCTGCACACAGTCCCCTGAGCTGTGACCAGCCCGGGCAAAACCGGCCTGGGTCCTGAGTACCTGCAGCCGGCTAGAGGGAGGAAAGCCCAGGTCCTGGGTTCAGGGCAAGCCAGAGGTGGTTAGGGATGATCAGGCCAGCAGGGGATCAGTTAAGGGCAATCAGGATGGTAGGAGAGCAGTTATGGGTGATCAGGCAGGCAGGCAGAGGTGGTTAAGGGAGATCAGATGGACAGGCAAGCAGTTAGGAGCCAGAGGTCTTGGATTGCAAGAGGCAGTTAGACATCCCCCTGAGGGGTCCCAGATTGGAGAGGGTGCAGGATGGACTGAGGGATCCTCAACTGGTGAACAAATTTCATGCGCCATGCCTTTAATATCCAAAATAAAAGAAAATATGTTCATAATGAATTAAATTATGGAAATCCCAGAATAGAAATAGAAACTATAAAAACAGCCTAATATAAATTGGTGTATAGAAAAATATAGCATCTGAATTTAAAAATTTAATGGATGAACAAGAGAGCAGATTGGATAGATATGGCAGTATAATGTGAGATCATTTAAAGATTCATCAATAGAAAATATGCATGTAAAGACAGAGAATAATGATGGGAACAAATAAATAAAGACTGGAAAACATTTGAAATAATATCAAATAACTAACAGGTAATTACATTGAGAGAGAGAGAGAGAGAGAGAGAGAGAGAGAGAGAGAGAGAGAGAGAGAAAGAGAGAGAGAAACAGAGTAGAAAAAGTGGCTTGCAAAAAATAGTTGAAAATTTCCTGAAATTTACATACTCAGGTTGTTCAGTAAACTCTGTTGATATAAAGAAAATGTTCTAATGAACCAAATAAACTGATAATCAAAAGTAGACCCAGAGTCATAGAAGCATGAATAAACTGTTGAACCTCAGAGGGAAGACAAGGGAGAGTGGGTGGAAAAAGATCAACCAATGAAATTGCATGCATATATGCATAACCCATAGACAAAGACAATGGGGTGGTGAGGGTGGCGGGGTGAGAAGAGAGGTTGGGAGCAGGCTGGAAGAGGTTAATGGGGGAAAAAGAAGGACCTATGTAATACTTTCAACAATAAAGATTTGAAAAATAAAAAGAGCCCTGACCAGTTTGGCTCAGTGGATAGAGTGTTGGGCTGAGGACTGAAAGGTCCTGGGTTTGATTCCAGTCAAGAGCATGTACCTTGGTAGCATACTTGATGTAGGGGGCATGCAGGAGGCAGCTGATTGGTGTTTCTCTCTCATTAATGTTTCTAACTCTTTACTTCTCTCCCTTCCTCTCTGTAAAAAGGCAATAAAACATATATATGTATAAATAATCTATACTAATAAAAAGATAATATGCAAATTGGTCACGACACCCTCAGAGTAACAACCAAACAGCAAGCTTCATGAGGCGACCAGGCTGGCAGGGGGATTAGCAAGGGACGACCAAACAACTGAACAGCAGGCTGTGTGGGGTGACCAGGCTGGCGGGGGGGGGGGGGGGGGGGGGGCAGTGAGAGGCGACCAGGATGACAGAGGGGGTCAGTGAGGGGTGACCAGGCCAGCAGGGGGATGAGCATTTGGGGGCAACCAGCAAGGGAGGCAGTGAGGGGCAACCAGGCTGGCAGGGAGGGCAGTAAGGGGCTGGGGGGGAGGGAGTTGGGGGTGATAAGGCTTGTGAAGGGGGCATTTGGGGATGACCAGGCCAGTGGGGGGGGCAGTTGTGGATGGCCAGGCTGGCACTGGGGGAGTTGGGGGCAGGCAGGCTGGTAGGAAAGCACTAAGGGGCAACCAGTCAGGTGGAGGGGGGCAGTTGAGGGTGACCAGGGTGGTGGGGGGAAGGCAGTTAGGGGAAACCAGGCTGGCAAGAAGAACAGTTAGGGGCAACCGGCTGGCAGGCAGAGGTGGTTTGGGGTGATCAGGCTATCGGGGAATGGGGAGCGACAGTTAGTGGTTTTCAAGCAAGCAGGCAGGTGAGCAGTTATGAGCCAACTGTTCTGGATTGTAAGAGGAATGTCCCATATTGGAGAGGGTACAAGCTGAGCTGAGGGAACACCACCCCCCCCCCATGCATGAATTTTGTGCACCAGGACTCTAATAATAATAAGAAGAAAATAAAATGGTGCCCACACACTTCATAGTCAAACTGTTGAAAACAAAGTTCCAGAGGGATAAAAGGCAGAAGAAATATAAATAATAAATAACTAGGAAAACAATACTTTCTTGAACTAAGTAAAAATTAAAATCTTGTAAAATTTCTAAATTTTAATGATAAATGAGAGCAAAAAATAAAGAAACAGAGTTCTAGAAAACATCAAACAACTATACCCACATTTACCAAAACTTTCCATGAGATTTAAATAATATTCTATTTTGTTTGAGCTATTGAATTTTATGGAGTCTCTTTATATAGCAGTCTAGCCTAGTTTCTAACTAATAAGTATATAGATAATTAAAATAGTGAAACAAATCTAGATTTAATTAAATTTTATAATGAGAGAAGAGAGAGAAGAGAAACAATGGAAAAGACAATACATACTCCACTGTGATAGACTACAAATGGTCATAAATTCTTTGCAGTAGCTCTGATCAAAAGGTGAAGTAAATTTCTTCAATTCCTAAAATTGGACTGGCCTAGGACTTGTTTTGGCCAATAGGATACAATACAAATGGCACTATCTGAGGTTTGAGCTTAACTCTCAGCGATCTTCCAGTTGCTTTGCTCTCTTGCTACTGAGAATCCTACGATACAGTAAACTATTTAGGAATAGCCTTTTGGGAAATCAGACTGTAAAGATGTCCCAGCGAGGACCCCATACATGTGAATAAAGCTATCTTAGACCACCCAACCCAAGCCTGCCCAGAGAAAACACTCATCCAGCCACTAAAAGAAATAATGAATATCTGATATTGTGTGTGTTTTTCTGTATCTCCATTGCTTTATTTTTTTACTTCATTTTTTGTTAATTGTTATTATTACAGATGCCCCCCAAAAAAAAAATTCCTGCTGTTTTAAATCACCAAGTTGTAATTTGTTATTCAGGAAAAGTTAATTGGTATACAAGCAATAGAAAATGTACATTATTTTATATCATTAGAACATTTACAAAAGTTGTATTATATTATTTTCACAAATGCCACCAATAATTTTATCCTCTCTATGGCACTCCTCCCCTTGAATATGGGCTAGCCTTATAATTTCTTTACAGAATGTGGTGAAAAAAACTTTAAGGACTTATGATCTCAGTTTGTAACAAGCTTATTGTTTTTGCTTTTGCCTTCTTGGGTCCCAGCCACTATGTAGAGAAGTTCGTGTTAAATTAATGCATGATGAGAAATCAGACATGTGAGAGAAATTATTTTGGATTTTTCCAGCTCCAGCTGAGTTCCCATCTGAATGTATCAATATAAATGACTTTAGTCAACATGACATCAAATAGAGA